GGCGTCCGGGAGGTCGCTGGGGGTGGCTTTGCGTGCAACCCGGGTAAAGGCCCTGCAGCCGTGAGGCTGGCGCTGAGAGGAAGGTGGAAAATCTCAAAGTCACCAACCCGGGTACAAATGGCGGCAGGGACTGCGGGCTGTCCGACGCAGGCCGGAGGCCAAAGATGGACTCTGCACGGCCAAGAGTCCCCAGAGGCTACGGGGGCACCTGAGCGCTGAGGGGATCCCGACACTCGGAGAATCCAGAACAGCCTGACCCCAGGGAGTGGATCTGGGGTGCGCTCTCAGCGCTGCGACTCCACGGTCCCGGGATTCCGGGAAAGGGCGCTCTGGGCTCAGAGTCCCCAACCAGCCGTAAGACCAGGGCTCGCTCCCAGGCCTGGAGCGTCTGGGAGGGGGCTCTAGGTCTCGGGCCCCCCCTCCCCAAAAGCGACTGGGACTCTTCTCTGCCTGCTTCCTTCGGCACTTCGGGTAGCTCCGTCCTGCCGCCCAAGTTGGGGAGAAGTGAGCGGCGCACGCCACAGGGAGCCGCGCCGGGACCCAGACTCCCGCCGAGCTTCTGCCGATCGGAGCCCTAGGTGCCCACCTGGTCACTCCAGAGAGGCCAGGCCCGGGCGCCAGGACGCTCGCGGGGCCGCACTTGGCGGGGCTTTCCGGGTCCCTCGCCGGGCGCGCTCTCCTGCGGCGCGGACTGGAATAGAGCGCCAGCAGCGGAGCCACCCGGACCGGGAAAAGCAGCAGCGGCGCCAGCCTGCCCCGGGTCCAGACTCCGGAGGGCGGAAGGAGCCGCGGGTGGGGGCGGGAGTGGGGGCGAGGGTAGGGGTGGCGTTCTGAAGACCCTGGGGAGCCAGAAGAAGAAAACAGGATTGACTCTCCCCGAGGAACCAGAGGGTCCCGGCGCACTCTACCCAGACCCGCGACACAGGTTCCCTGAGCGTCCCCCCCCGCCTCCCAGTCTGGTCGGCTTGCCAGCCACGGGCAGGGGAGGCTTGGAAGCCAACGCAGGGGCAGCGCGCTGCCGCACGTCCACAAGGCCCGGGCCTTGGCCCAGCCGGCGAGTCCCAGCCTGCTTGGCTTTCTGCACAAAACGAAACCCAAACGCCCCAAAAGCTGAGGAGGAAATTTAACAAAAAACCTCTTACCCCCCAGCCCCCTTTCACTTTTAACAAGCCGGCTGCCAAGACAAAATTGAAACAAAAACGAAATGATAGATAACGGAGGACACTATCTTTCCAAATGGTGAAATTTCCTTTAAAAATATGTTCCCTAAGGCCAACTTCGCGGCTGGCCGCCCCTTCCGACGCCTTTGCCTCCCAGAAAATCACAACAAAGCGATCGGAAATTCGGCCACGGTCCCGGGAAGGAGCAGCAGTGAGGCCCCGGAACCCACTGCGGCCGAAACTGCCATGCTCTCTTTAACCAAGAAATAAAAAAGATAAGAAGAAGAAGTAAAACCTTTTAATACATCAAATATACGGAATTTTAATCTTTAAAGCGATACATTGTCTATTATTTTAGTACATGACGTAAACCTTGTCCCCTTCTCAGCGGGTGGACTTAAAAATTAAAAATAGTTAAGTGTTCCTTTTAAAGAACAAAATAAGGCAAATGAGGTTTTGGAATAGAATTTTTTCTTTTTTTTTTTTTTGTTTTCTTCCAGAATACATACAAAAAAATACCCATTCTCTTCGATGGTATACACCTTAAAAATAATTGCAATTTGAAATCAGAGCTGACAAATTGTGACTTTTTTTTTCATTTTTTGTAACAAACATGCATGTAAATTTGTGTTTCAATCAGACATTAAATAACGTACAATACAATCATAGCAATTTTAAAGTAACATTAAAGAGAAGACCTCTAGTTCTGTGGCGGTTTTGCTTTTATTTATAATCTACAAGGGATGGGAGGGTTTGTTTTCCACATTTTTACCCTCAAGATTTAAATTGTTTCCCTCCTCCTTTTTACCTACAGAGCTCAAACTAAATAATGCACTTTTGAACCACGGGTCCGCTTGGAGCTAACATAAATAAATACCAGTGTCCACCGATGCAGTCCTCAGATGAACACTTTCTCAATTATTTTTTCCTTCTTTTTCTATAAAAAGTCAAATGATATTTTTTCAACTTTTATAAAGTTTGGGTGGGGAGGTGAGAGGAGGGGAGAAAGGGAGTCCCACCGGGTCTCGGTTGCTGCTGTCGGGTAGATAGATACGGTATATATTTATTTCCTTTCGTGGCCCGAGTCCTCCCCACGCGCGGGTGTCAGCAGCCTGGGCCATGATCCCGCCCCTCCCTGGGCTCCTCCCTTCCCTCAACTCCTTCCTCTCCCTCGCTAGCCCTCCCGGCCGCCCTCACTGATACCCCAGCGCCGAGGCGGTGGTCAGTCTCTGTCCGTAGAGGGCGTAGGGGGAGTAGTAGGGTCCGGTGGCGGCAGGCACCGGCACAGGGGCACCGGGCGTGGGAAGCGGGCTCTTGGAGTAGGGGTGGTAGCGGCTACTGAGTCCCAGCGCGTGGTGGGGGCTGCGCAGCGCCAGCGTCCCAGGGCTGCCCGGCGCGCCGGAGGTGGGGATGTGCATGTGGCAAGCCATGGCGGCCGCGGCGGCGCTGGCCAGAGACGAGGAGCTGGGGTAGCCCGACAGCAGTTTGTCTGTCCCAGGAAAGGCCGTATGGGTCCGCAAGTGGCTCAGCAGCTCTTCGGACGTGGCGAAGCGCTTGTCGCACGGCCCGTTGGCCGACACCCAGTTGCAGATGTGGGGGAGCGGGTCGTTAGGGAGCATAAAGCCGTAGGGGTAGAGGGGGTGGCCAGCCAGGGAGGGCGGTGTGGCGCCAGCAGCCGCGGCAGCCGTTAGTGAGGAGTGCACACCATGCAGCGGATGCGTGGGGTACACCAGCGGGTATCCAGACTTCAGCGCAGCGGCCGCCGCAGCCGGATCGTGTGCGCAGGAAGCGCTGGCTGCTGCCGCCCCTGCCAGGTGGCTGGCGCAGTGGTAGCTGAGGCAGTACGGGTCCCGGCACAAACTGGCTGTCATCACCGACGGCGGAGACGCCCCGGCCAAGGGGCTGGAGCCGGCCGGCTTACTGCAGCCCAGAGACCCAGCGGCGGCTGCCGCCAGCTGTGCCCCCACCAGGCTGCCCGGCTTGGTGGGGTCGAGTGCCACGCCATGTGGCAGGAACTGGGGCGGGTAGCCGGCGTAGGCCCCGGCCAGGCTGCCTGGGTAGGTCATGCCCGCGGGAGGCAAAGGAAACACTGTCTGGCCTGGCTTGTAGGGCGAGACGGGCGCCACCAGCCCAGAGCCCAGCACCGAGGAGGAGGTGGGCGCGCTGGGGCCGGAGCCAGAGCTCGAGCCAGATGAACCGCCGCAGTCCGAGCCCAGAGCCTTGCCCCCCGGGCCCCCATCAGGGTGCTGGTTCACGTCCACATTAATCCCGCCGCCGCAGCTAATCCGGCCGTGCGCCAGCCCCGTGGGTCCCCCTTCGGCCGAGGTGCCCCCGGCGCCCTTGCCGCCGCCGCCCACGTCGGTGTCTTTCTTGTCGTCCTTGCCCTCCGGGGCACCCCCGGCCGAGGGCAGCATACCTCCTGGGGAGCAGGCCGAGGCGCTGGAGCTCGGGCTGCCTGTCCTGGGCGTGAATGGCTGGCAGGTGGCGCTCGGTACCCGGAATCCCGACTTCTCCGCCGAAACGCCCCCACCGCCGCCGCCCCCGCCGCCACCACCGCCTCCACCGCCACCTCCCGGCTCCTTCTTATCCGAGCCGGGTTTGGAGTACGGCTTGAAACTCGACTTGTCCTCCACGCCGATGTCGCTGAGCTTGAGGGGGCCCGATTTGGCGTCCTTGTCGCCTGCGGCACCGCCGCCGGCACCGCCCGCGCCGCCCCCGTTGGAGGCGACCGAGGAGAGTTTAGAGGAGGGCGAGGGGTCAGGCTTCCCGATCTGCGAACATGTTTGGGCCAACAGCGCCAGCGGGCTCTTCTTGGCATCGAGCTGCGGGGTCAGATGATGGGGGGGTCACACAGAGAAAGAAGTGGAAACCCTTTAGCATCTGGCTTCTAGGGTTCAAATGCCTCTCTGCAACAGCCCACGAAGATCTTCCCAGCCCCGAGGCTCAATTCTAGGCGGCACCCCCTCTTCAACACCCACTCACAAACATTCTCGCCCTTGGGAAAGGCAGCAGATTCCCCTTCCCCCCACCCCTCCCAGCAGCATCTTTCCTGCCCTCTCTGAACGCTAATTGGATTTTTAAAAAGCAAAATGTTTTGGGTTTTGGTTCTTAGACCCACAACTGTACCCCCTCCCCACAAACACTTCCTAATTCTTCAGAGTAAGGGCTTGGACGGCTGGTGCCTCAGAGGCTGTGTGCACACACTGGCTCCTGGCAAGCCGGAGGACGGCGACTTTGGAACTGTATTTCAGACCTCCGCCTGCCTTCAGTGCCGAGTGAGGGGGCCTGGGTCGGGTTAGGGCTTTGATATCAAAAGGAGAAACAAGTATTGGCAGTCTTGCTCCCTAGCATTCACACCGCATTCCACCACCTCCCCCTTTTCCGCCCTAGTTTTAAGGTACGGAAGCAGTAGCCTCGTCCCCCATCCAGGAGCTGAATCACTCCGACCCCCCCCCACCCCCGCCCAGATCCCGAGAAAAAGAAAGCCTTAGGGTGGCAGCCAGGGTAGTGGTCCCAGCGCGATCCAGAGAGAGGGTCCTTACCTCGATAGGGCTGACGGGCGTGGAAGGCAGGGGCTGCAGGTACTCGGGGTGCAAAATGTGGCCGGTCCGTGCCGTCAGCATCTTCAGCACCTTGATTGGCAGGCGGTTGGCCTGGCGTAGGGGGTCAGAGGGGGGCACGGCGTGCACAAAAGGCTTGGTGCTGCCGGCCGGGGACGAGCCTGGGCCGGGGCCGGAGCTATTTCCAGAGAGCGCGCTAGTCCAGGCAGGGTCTGCACCGCTGCCGCCGCCGCCGCTGTGCTTACTGCTTCTTAGGGCAGAAAGCGAGGGCGCTGTGCTCATGACCCACCCGCGCGCATGGGAGCAGCGGGGGGGAGGGCTCCGGGAGGCGCGGGGCGGGCTCGGGGCTGCGCGCTCGCCCGGGTAGCAGGAGCAGCAGGAGGAGGAGCTGGCTCGGCGGCCGCGGGCGCCCAGCGCGCCTTCTCGGCGCCTGGAGCCAGACTTGAGTAATCCTGGGTGGCCCGCAGCGGAGCCGTGGCCGGGCTGGGGGAGCCGGCTGGACTGCCTGAGTGCCGGGCGGCTCCCGGTGTCCGCCTCGGGCTGCTCCCCTGCGCTGCGCTCTCGCGGCCCCGCGCCGGCGCTACGCTCTGCGATGTGAGCCGCTGCGTGTCCAGCCGGGGCTCTGGCGAGGAAACTCACTTCAAAAGCAGCTGCACAGAGGGGGAGATTAAAGCCTTTGCCGCCTTCCAATCAAATGGGAGCCCGAGGTGATTGGAGGGTCAAGGGGATGTGACGCGTCCCGCGCCGCCGCCGCCGCCGCCGCCTCCGCCAGGACTCTCAGAGCTGGTTTTAATGGGCAGCTCCCTCCTTGCCGCCCCCCTGTGTGTCCCCTCCCTCGATTTCGCTCCGAGGACGAGATGGACATCTATTCTACGTTTGCCATCCGCCGCCTCCCTCTTTTTTCCTCCTGGTCGTTCTTCCTTTCCCCACCTCTAAAATAAACTGAAACCTTCTTTTGGAGGGGGGTGCGCGTGAGGAACAGACTGCGGGGGTATCCAGAAGGAGCACCGGTGAGAGTGTGGACACCAGCCGGACTGTCAACTCGAGGGGCACAGGGAATCCACACACCCAGTGTTTTTTCTTCCTCAGTAATCGAGATCCCGCCCGGCGCAGCGCAGCGCGGCCACCAGGGTAAGGCAAGGTGGGGAGCCGGAGCTGGAGGAAGCCCGCCCGCCCGCTCTCATTTCCTCAGATTCCGCGGCGGAGAAACCAGAAACTAGATGGGCAGTCGCAGCAGCGGCTCCACAGCGCGAGGCGCGCTGAGCTCTCCGCCCTTCCCGGCCACGTGACGCCCGGGGACGCGTAGATTGGGGCAGCAGCGGGGGTCACATGTTTCCTCTGTTTCACACTCAGTCTCCCCCCCCAACCCCCCATTCTTACTCTCCTCTTCCACCCTCTTTTCCTCCCTCCCCTCGTTCTTTGGGCATCTCCACCCCTCCATCAATTGTCAATGTTCCTCGACCGCAATCAATCAGTTATTTGTCAGCTCTTGTCAATCCGCCCGTGATTTATGTCAGCTTTTGTTGCTGATTACAAGGCTGGTGCGACTTGAAGGGAAAAAGGAGAGGGAGAGAGAGATGAAGAGGAAGGAAGAGACCGAGAGGGAACTGGAGGAGGGGAAAAGAGGAGCGGCCTCCTGGGATGAGGGGTGGGGTGGGAGCTCTAAGAAAAAGAATGAAAGAGGGGAAAGAGGCGGTCTGTGTCAGGAAAATGAATAGTGAGAGTAAAGTGCGCAGGTGCGCCCAGTGCGCCGAGAGGGGCGCGCAGGCCTGGAGTGCGCGTCTGCCTTCTCGGTGTCGGAGAGACACCCACCTCTGGGGGCTTCGGTCTCTTGGGGTCGTGGAGTTCGGGCGCGGCTCCGGGTACCCGAGACCAGGAGCGGCAACGTCTAACACGGGAGATTTCCTGCCACCCCACCTTGCCGCCACTAGTCCCCAGGGGGCGTGTAGCGTGCGGAGGTCAGGCTGCCACCCTCGGTAGTTCCCTAACCCCAAACTCGGAGACTTCTAAGAGCCACACCAGCAATGAACCTCAAGTCCTGTAGGTCAATAGTGGGGTAAACCTCGCCTCAATTCTTTGACATCCTCAGTCGTAACCAGGGCTGAGAGGCTGCGAAGAAGAGGCCCGGTGGTGGGTGTGTGTGGGGAGAACCGTCTCAGGCTCACTCTTTCCCTCTTCCGACCTTCCCTCACCTCCTGCCCTGCGCTATCCCCACAGGCTGGGGAGCCAGGGTCACTCGGGGCTGCTGTCTTGAATTTATTCGGAACGTCGCGTCGGAACGACCTGCGCTGGGAGAGCCGGGGGAAGGAGCGAGAGAAGGCAAGGGCGGCTGCCTGTGGGAACACGGGTTCTTCCAAGGAAGCAGAGCGGGACTGCTGCGTTCCCCTCGATTTCCACCGTCACTCGGGTTTGGAAAGAAGAGGGAAGGCGCTAAGTGCGTGCCACCGCGTACCTGGACCTGGGTGCCCAGTGTGTATGCATGCCTGTGGCGCTGCGTGAGTTCTCGGGGCTTTGACAGCGTCCAGAGCGGGTTCGAGAGTCCCCTCCAGAAACTCTCAGAGATTAGAGGGGGTGGGTGGGTGAGGAGGACACACCCCCTTCCTCGGAACCACTAGCAGGACTTTGAATCTCCCTCCTCCGCTTTTCCGCCCCGGCTCTTCCTTTGTTGTCAAGTCCTTTTGATAAATCGTGGGGCTGAGAGCTCTGGGAGCCAGTCTGTGCCCGCGAGGGGGGCGGGGGCCGAGCCTGGAAACCTGGTTTCAAGCGGCGCGCACCCGGGACTGAGCCGGGTACGGGTACGCGCGGGGGTCGGGTCTGGAACCTGCCCTCGGCGTGCTCACTCTCTCCCCTCGGCCCATCTCACTCCCCTCCCCCACCTCACTCCGCTACTCCGCTTCTTTCTCAGTCTCTCACTCCGCACGGGTGCCAAGAACTTTCTGGGGTGAGTTTTAGAATTTCCTCCTAGGCATTCTTTTTCCGCGTTTGGATTTTATCCCTTGGCTCTTGTAGGCCAGTAAACTTTATAAGATGGTAACTTTACTGAAGCTCATTTGGAGAGAAGAGCGGAGTGAGGTGGTGTGTGTTTGGGGCCGGTGTTTGTCAGTGTAAGAGCACACCTGCATTCAAGGGAGTGTGTAGTGTCTGTGCGACATCTGAGGAAGGTGAGTGCGCGAGCGGGTGGCGAGGCCCCACGCTGTACAGGTTGTCTGAATGGTCTCCCAGGAGCGAGTCCCAGGTGTGCATTTCGGAGGGCGGGATACTCCTACGCTGTCCCTGCGGGGCAGCGTGTCTGTGAAGCCGCTCTTATCCTTCGCGTGTGTTCGTGTCTGCCTGGTCACTGAGTGCGCGGCCTTCTAGATGATGACTCAACCAACGGCAGTGCTCCCAACGCCGCGAGCCCAGCTTTGGAACGCTATCGCTGCGGCCTCCCCGCGAGGCCCGGGCACTGAAATTCTGGGGGCTGCGGCAGGGCTGCGGGCGACGAAGCCAAGGACGTCCCTCCCCAGACTCGAGAGGCAGCTCTGCCCCCTTTCCTCCAATTCCAGCGGCTTTCTTATTACGCCCGCGGCTAAGGGAAGGCAGCCCCAGCACCTGAATCCTGGGGGAGCCCTGGAGTGAGTGCCTCCTGTGTCCCTTGGTGTGGCCGCACACACTTGTGGGGCTGTGCTGTGCTGCGTGGGCGCGGGTCGTGGTCAGCGTGCGTTCGCTTTTCTCAAAACTCCACTCCGAGGGTCCGAGCGCATGGGGGCGCCTGGGGGCCTGTGCGCCCGGGGCTTTTGGGAGGCGCCAGCGTCCGAGCCTGCGCACCTCGCGCTGGAGGCCAAACTCCAAAGGCCGGGCGGGCCCGGGGGTGGGGAGCCATTAATTACTCTGCGCCAGGCCTAATGTCTCCAACCCCCAGCAGCGGTTGGCGTGGATGTCCTGCGGATTTTATTTGCACACAATGGAAATGATTTGTTTTCTCTAAAAAAGGAGTGGACATGGCAGATATTGGAGGAGGGGGGTGGGAGGAGAAGGAAGGGGAGAGAGCTGAGGAAAAAGTTTGAAAATGCCTTGAACTATTCACTGTCGAGATGGCTAATCAGTATTGAGGCCGGAGGGCAGGCGGGCCGCCTTTCACCGCCGCTTCCCTTTCATCTCGGGCTCGGCGGAGGCGCTCAATTAAAAGCCTATCAGTTTGTAAGTAAATCAACGCCTATCAGAGTTGTCACATCAAACAAAACGATTATTATTGCAGCCCGCCTCCCCTATTAATCTCCCTCGAAGATAATCCGCCTGACAGGTCAGGCCTGGCGAGCTGGAAAGCCTGGCCCAGAGCGCCCAAACAGTCCAGGACTGGGGAGCGCCCCCGGGGGCTTTCCTATCCGAGTCCGGCCCTGCCTCGCGGTCCCTGGGAGGGGGGGAGAGAAAGCGTGTGCAGAGACCTCTGCACCCAGGTCCGCCCACCCGACTGTCTGAATGGTCTAGAATCGAGGCCTAGAATCGCGGGGCCAGTAGGGGATAGACCCGCACGGCCCTTGCCGCTGCTCGGGGCTGGGGAGGCGACTGGAGTGTGGGAGCCGTGTCCCCGTGTGGTCCTGGCGTCTGGCCTTGGGCTGCGCTCTCCTCCGGCGCGCCTCTCCTGGCTCTCATTTCTTTTTTCTTTCTCCCTTCTCCTTTTTGTTTCCTCTCCGGCGTCTTTCTGGGCTCCCCCATTTCTCTCCTTCACTTCATTTTCCTTTTCCCTTTCCTTATTTGCCAGGGAGTATTTCCCATTCTGCTCCCTCATCTCCGTGTGCCGTATAAACCATTCGTGCGCAGCCACACTGCCTGGAGTAGGACGTTCTTAGGGCCCGGGTTATTTCTCCGGTGACAGGGTTGCCTCAGGAGTGTGTAGTTCCCAGAAACTCATGGCAAAGTCCACTCTAATCTCTTTCCAAGTAGGGGCTCTGAGGAGCGCTGCGCCTGTTTAAGGGTTGGGTGGGTTTGGAGGGGTGAAGAGGAAAAACAGGGAGAGAGACTGGTAGACAGTTGTCTTATTATGGAATTAGTATTTGGCCTTGGAGTTTCAGAGCTGCAACGTTGCCGACCTCGCTGTTGGCGTTGCCTGGGCTTGGCAAATATGTAGAGAAGACTCACAGGACATCCGGGCCTCAGTAGTGACTATGCGGGGGGGGGGGGGTGTCTGATATTTTATAAGTAAATACACCCAGATAACTGCCTCTGTGGCCTCAAGTTAGTACCCCAAGAGTTCGGGTGGGGCCTGGCTTCTAGAAGGCGCAAAAATTGTGGCCTTCTTCCCGGTGGCCTCCAGCTTCCTGCTTTGGGATTCCTCAGAATCGAGCCGGACTTGCCCTTTTTTGCACTCTTCTTCCACATCTGTAGACCCAAACGGCCACTGCCGGAGCCAGGTGGAACCGGGATTGAGGTGTGACTGAAGTGTCTGAGAGGAAAGGGCTGCCCGCGGGAGCCCAGGCCTGCCACCTGATATGCCAGTGCCCCGCGAAGGCTCTCCGCGCCTGTATCTAGGAGAGCCCCCAGGGCACTGCAGTATTGGGCGTCGGGCCGGGCCGAGCCTCTCGCAGCAGTCACGCCGAGGTCATCCAATAGAGCCCACTTCAACTTGCATGGCACTTGGGGTGCAGGACCCGTGGCCCCCACGGAGGGTTTCCGAAAGCCTCTCCATTTGTCCGCACTCTCCACCACCGACCTTGTAGGAAATTTATTTCTATGCCCAGAAATATTGTTTGGACAGAGTGGCTCGGTTATCTTCAAGCCTGCCTTTCTTAAATATATTTATTTCACCTCTGCCGTGCTGCAGATACTTAAAGATCTGTAGATACTGTACCCCTCAGCGATGCAGGACTCACTCTGTTTATAGATAATATTCTCTGGATGGTTATTTGGACATAAGTTCTATCTCCAGCCCAGATGACGCCCAAGCAGGGACTGTAAAAGGACACTTGCTCTAGAATTTTTCTGAAATATATGTGCATACACGGAGAATTTAAGAGTATTTTTATATTCCTCTCTAGATCTAAATATTCAGATGTGTTAATTATATGCCCTGGAAGCTGAAAGCGATCAGTGGTGTTCACACTGGACGTGGAGCTGTTTGTATAATTTTCATCTCCCTGCACTTACACGTGAATCTCAATCTAATAAATTCAACCTTGTCATTTTTAGAATCGACGGGATTTCTCTGGCTGTCGTTTGCGCTGCATTTATCCGAATACATCCAGCTCGCAGGCATCCTCCAGGAAATGGCTCCGGCTCGTGTGTACGCCGACACCTCGGCCCTACGCGGGACTCGAGGTGGCTCCTAGTGCCCGGGCAGCTGAGAGTCCGGCCTCCAAAGGAGGCTGGACAAGCAGCGCCCCCAGGTTGAGCGGCCTCAAGCTGCTTGGCAGTGCCTGGCAGCCCCCACCTCTGCTGGTACTTCGGAAACCCGCCCCGCCAGGTTCGCCCGCGGTGAAAACTGAAAGCAAATACTCCTACAGGGGTAGCCCAAACTTCGACGAAGGCTCTCTCCTGCGCCTGTGTCTCGGAGAACCCCCGGGCTCTGCAAGTTAGCAACAGAGATTCTTTAGCGGCTAAGGAAGGGACCTGCAGGGTGGGGTGAGGGGCAAAGAGGACACTGGGTGACCCAGCCTGGCCCGGGGCGAAACGCAAGAGAACGTGCCACCTTCCTTATTTCAATGCAATTTCTCTGCCCCAGATGGTAAAAATAGTTTCCGAGCTGCGGCGGACGCCCAGGATATGTTTGCAGAGATCAAACTGGGGAGGAGGCAGCTTTGTAAAAGTTGCAGGAAGATTTGCCCAGAAGCGTCCGCCCGGCGGGGCTCAAGAATGCTTGGGGCCAGCTCCACGTTCCTTGAAGCGGTGGCCAAGAATTAGCCTGGGTAACCCCCTGCCCAGTTCTCTGTCCTCACTTCTAGCCAGCGCTTACCTGCCCTGCAAACTTCCCGGCGCAGCGCCTGCAAGGCCAGGACGCAGCTAGGGCTAGCAAAACCCCGCCGCGGCGCACTCGGCCCCACCCCTGAGAGGCTGCCCGGGGTGGGAAGACCAGTGTGGTTTCCGATCCCACTCGGCTGCTCAGACCCTCAAGGCTGATCCCCCCAACCCCTGGGAGCCGGTGCTTCCCTCTGGTAGCCGCGATCTTGCGGGCCGGCGAGGGTGCAAAGTGCGCGCGCTAGCCCGCGCGGGGGCGGCCGCGCGTCTCTCCGCGGGGCCTGTCGCCGGGCTGGCCGCGGCGGGTGAGTGATGAGGGCAGAGAAGGGCGCCCATAAATCGCGGGTGTCAGGGCGAAAAACTCTCTTTATTGTCTGCGTGATGGATGGGCCCGGGGACGAGACACCAAATACTTCGTATCGCCTTTAAATGGGAACACATTTTCCGCGGCCATAATTCATGTTTTTTAAATAGAAAGTTTGAAATGTTGCCTATATTTCACCGGCCCTGACATATTTATGAATCGCTCCCTGCATGCAAATATCATTATTTAAAGCGCCAGGGAGAGCGCGGGGGAGGGGAGAAGGCGCGGTTCCCGGGGCGTGGGGGTGGTGAACCGGGGAAATGTCGGTGGAGGGGGGCCATCTCCCTAAAGGGCAGAGGGTTAGGTGCGGGGAACAGCCGTATCCGGAAACCGAGCGTGTCCTGGGGCTTCTGTCCCGACGCCGGACCCCGCACGGCCGCCCCGGGATGTTTTTCGCGGCTTGGGACCGAAGAGAGGCCCCCGGCCCCTGCTGGGAGACCAGGGGGCATTTTTCGTCCCTCTCTGAAGCTGTTATCCCAGCTGAAACCACCTTTTCTAAGAAGAAAGTTTTTTTAAAAAAGGAATTTAACAAACACAAATAATAATAACCCAACATGTTTCGTGTTCTTTGCCACTGCATCGATTTTATTGATTTTCATTCTGCAAACCTGAGAATGTGCGTGCCAGGTCGGGGAGGCTGTCAAAACCCAGTCGCGGCGGGGACTGGGTGGGGGACAATCCTCCGGCGCCGCGGCCCCGACCCGCCCCCACCCAGCCGGCGCACCACCTCCCAGTCACCACAGAGCCTGCTCAAGCCTCCGGGCCATAAATGACCTGGCCCCCAAGCGCCGGGAGCTACAGTCCCGCCCCTCTCTCTCCCCAGTGCCCTGCAGCGCTCCCAGGGTCCGCGTCTGCCCTTCCCAAGCCCCCACTGTCAATACAATCGCTGTAAAAAACAAAAATCTTCTTAAAGCCAGACACGTGCCGTCGGCCTCTCCCCTGCCCGCCTGGCCCAGGAGGCGCCCACACCTGCGCTCTCACTTGCCGAGACTTTACCTGTGCAGTCCCCTGCGGCGCCGGCAGCCGCGCAGGTAACCGAGAAATGGAAGGGAGGGCTGGGGAGTGGGAGGGACAGAGAGCACTGCCCGACACAGCCAGATTCGCGGACCCAGGGCCTCCTCTCTGGACCGACGCTGGGGCCCCAGCAGAACCAGCTCCGGGAGCCGAACTGCGCCCGGGAGAGCGAGCCGGGGGAGGGGCGAGGGGAACGGGCCTTGGGAGGGAGGGGCGGGCCCGGCGGCACTTCCGCTGGGGGTGGGGCTGCGGGCTGACGCGCGGGTCCCGCCCCTCCGCCGCGCGGGCCCGCCCTTCCAGGCCGGGCGCCACCCCCGCCGCCCCCGGAGACCTCGCGCGGAACCGGATTTCGCGGGAGGGCAGAGGGCAGCTCCCTTTTCCTCACCTGGGGGTACTCTCTTTTTAAGTCGTGAGAACAGAATATCTACAGACTAGGATCCCAGGCCCAAACTTGCGCGTGGGATTTGTTGAAACTTAGGTCATTTGGTAGCCCTGACACCTGCCTGACCCAGGGGTCCTCACGCTCTCTCTGCGGATGTGACCAGCTGTCCTCTTGGACAGTCGGGATCCAGTCTGTGATCACAAGGTCCCACCTGTTTCTGAAAGACCAAAAACAAAAACTGACCCTTTTTGATAGTTCATCTTGTGCCAGGTGCCATTTAGAAACTTTGTATGAACTATGTCATCACCCACAGCGACTCTGTGAGGTAGGTACCATGAACGCCCCATTCATTTCATAGATAAGGAAATTGAGGCACAGAGAAAAGAAATCGGCCTTGCCTCACCCACATCCCATCCTTATCCTTACCCCTTCTTTTCTTCAGATCTGGGGCATCCCAAACCATTATTCTGGGGGTATATTGGAGGGATGGGGACTTTTATTTTTCTGATGGGGGAGTACCAGCCTGTTAACCACAGCCATTTGCAGCTGAGGCCCGTGCAGAGTAGGGGGAGCTCTGCACAGAGGAGAACGATATAAATGGGATGGGGTCACCTCAGTCCCTGGCCAGCTCCCAGCCTAATGGGAAAACCGGACCATTGAGCGCCCCTTGCTGTTTCCCTGAAGTCTCAGTCAAAGCCAGCGTGCTCTTTCTTAAAAAAGCAAATCCAATCATGTTTCTCTTCTGCTTAAAAGCATCCGGGTTTCCATTGTTCTTGAGAACAAGTTGAGCCTGCCTCCCCTGGCTGGCAGGTGTACGCTGGCTCTGCCCCAGCTTGCCTTTCTGCCTTTGTCTGCCTCCGCTCTCCCTCACCCTGAACTCCTGCTACCTATGGCTTCCTTTTAGTTCCTGAAATGTGCCACGCTACTCCCCACTTCAAGGGCTTTGCTTATGCTTTCCTCTTTCTCTCTGGAATGACCTGTCTTTCTCTTTATCTGGTTTGCTCCTCCTCTTCCTTCAGGTCTCAGCTCACACATCAGTTCTCTGCGTCCTCCCACCTGCGTTACCCTCACTTATAACTGAATTTCCTGTTGCGAGTCTGTCCCCTTCACTGGATGGTCAGCTCCCAGGGGCAGAAACTAGGGCTGTTCCTTCAAGAAATGAATGAAGAAAGAGCGTTTATATAAACCACCAACTATGATGAATGAATGAAACTGCATTTTTGGGGGCCACCAGTAAGTATTCTGTATGGTCTCGTGTTCCAAGATGTTCTCAATGAGGGAGATAACACAAATCTCATGAAAACATAAATTATTTTGAATGCCCTTATTGTAAATGTCAAGTAAGTGGATGCTGGAGGAGGTTGGAGAAGAGAAATATGTATGGATTACAGCCGTTTATTCAGGGTTTCAAGATGTAAGATGTGTTGGTTTACACAATTTAATGGAAAAATATGCCCCCTGCAACCATCTCCCAGTATTGAGCATGTATGTCTCAAGGCTCTAGCCTCCACCCCCTTTTCTCTTCCTTTTTTCATATATTATTGCTGTCACAGTTCAGTTCTTATGTTTCTGACTGAACTGCTGCTACAAGAACCTTCAAATTGTTCTGCCCATCCTCTACCTCTCCTGTCTCTAATCCATTATACATACTCCTGCTGGGTTAATTTTCCTGACCACATCATTTCCTTGTTCAAAAATCTTCAGTGGCTCCCTATCACACAATGTACCACTCTACTCTTCATAACCCACTTCCAAACTGCTTTTGTAAAGCTTTAAGATGCATTCCAAAATTAGGAAAGAAACACATGTTCACCTCAACCAGCAAAACACTCATAAACATTAGTGATCTTCCATACCTCCTCTCCATTTCCCACCCAGTCTCCCAAGCAATCCATTGTTAACGACCTGGGGTATAAGTTCTACCCCTTTCACCATGCTCCATGCTCATAATAAACTACATTCATATATGTGGAGCTATTGTGTTATTGCTTATTTATACAAAAAGGATTATTTGAGGGGTCTCAGCAACTTGTTCTTTCTTAATAATAAATGGGTCTATAGATATGGAATGAATGTATTCATTTTATAGCAACATAGTATTTCAAACTTCTTTTTATTTAAAAACAAATGTATGTATGTATATATTTTAGACAGGGCCTTACTTTGTTGCCCAGGAGTGGAGTGGAGTGCAGTGGCACATACATGGCTCACTGCAGCCTTGACCTTCTAGACTCAAGCAATCCTCCCCCGTCAGCCCCTCAAATAGGTGGGACTATAGGCACACACCACCACCCTGGCTAATTTTTGTATTTTTTGTAGAGACAGGGCTTTTCTGTGTTGCCCTAGCTGGTCTTGAACTCTTGAGTTCAAGGGATCCACCTGTCTTAGCCTCCCAAAGTGTTGGGATTACAGGTGTGAGCCACCGTGCCGGCCAGCTACATAGTGGTTCATATGATGTATATACTACACTTATTCAACCATTCCCCTTTTGATGGGCACATAGGTTGTTACCAGGTGTTTTTGTTTTTGTTTTTTTGCTAATAAAATTTCTTATGTCCATATCCTTGCAATCAGTGATTTTACTTCTCTAGGATAATTTACCAAAAGTGCAGCTACTTACACATCACCCAAATTGAATTTCTTTGTTATCCCCACAAGCCCTATGCTTTTCTTCTGTCTCCTTTCTCTGGAAAGCCCTTGTCCTCCATGCTTGTGTGTCTAACTTCCAATCCTGCAATGGCCAAATCTGATACCAGAATTTAGATATGTTATCCGATATCCACCTTCCTCCACCTTCATCATTTGAACTCTGTAGTAATGTGCCAGGCCCAGGCAGTGGTTTGCGATTGGCAAAGGCCAATCATGACAATCCTGTTTTCATCTTTCCCAACTACCCTTGCATCCTGTAGCTAGGTGGCCATGCAAACTCTTTTGGCAAATGAGGAACAAGTAGAAGAACAGGGGTGGCAAAGCAGGAATTGAGTGTTGAGAAACACTCTATTTTCATGATCAAAGGGGATGATGCTGATGGTCGGACCCTTCCCTTTCCCCTCCTTCCTTACATAAGTTTGGACATAATATGTAGAGTTGTAGCCATCTTGTGACCATGAGGGAAAATCCTAGAAAACAGAAGAAAGAGACTTAATCCTGATGTCATTGGGACACTGAGTCATCACCAACAATCCTCCTTCTCCAAAACTTTTATTTTATTAGAAAAATAAAATCCCTATTCGTTTAAGCCAGTAATATTGGGGATTTTTATAATTGTAGCCAGACATATTCTTCACCTTATTTAGCAAATACTATTGCCAATGGTGTACTTCCATTGAAATACCACTACAGTGGTCCAAAACCGTTTTAGAAACTTATATTAGAGTCTTGCTTTCAAGTGTAGTTTTTGAAATAGCCTCAGAAGCAGGCAAACATTCTTAGGGGATGCCTTTGGTATTTTAGAATGGCCCAAAGATAGTTGGAGGCAAGTGTAGTAATACCTTTAACCTTCAGTGCTACAGTACACTGTTGCATGGTGGACATTTAACTTTTTCCTACTTACTTGGTTGCCTAACAGCTGAATCTCCTTCCTTGTTGGAAAGCAGGGCCTGCTTCCAATTACTGAAGTGGAAGAGGCCACATCCTCCTTCTCTCTGCTCCCCACCAATGGATGCCCCTTACCTGGGTCTCAGCCTCAAGGGATGAGCAGAGGATTGGGTAGTTTGGAGACTTCTCCACAGCAGCAGTGAGCTCAGCATAATGGCATTAACTAGGAGAGGCAGAGAGGGAAGTCACTGCCATGTGTGCCGTGATAATGGCAGCCACTCAGGCAATGACCTAACTAGGCTAGTATGGTAGCACGGCCAAAGGTATTTTCATTTTCCAGCTGCTGACAGTTACTGTTCACTTCCCAAGTCTAGGTCTCCAGTCTTCCCACTGATTCTGTGAACTTCCTGATATCCTTCTGATACATTCCTGTTCTGCCTAAGTAAATCAGAGCTAGTTCTGGTCACTCACAACCAACAACGTCAACTGATTTGCCGTAGCCTGGCTCTTCAGGTGGCTTCTAAACAGGCCCAATGGTGATTACTTCTTAGTGGTGTCTGTGGGTTCCTGTGATGGGTACTTGTGTGGGACCCAGCACCACACAGCCTGGCTGAACATCAACCC